CCCGCCCGCCCCGGGACACGCGCTCAGAAGGTGAGTCGCTGGCGTCCTCGGGGAGCGAGATGGCTCCCGAAACCCACGCCCCACCGCCGACCACGTGCTCTCCACCTCAGGTCGAACGATTGACAGTTTCAGGCTTAGCTCCACCATTCCGTTTCCTCGCTCTCCACGAACCCCATGTGTGGTAGATGTTGATTTTTCTTTGCGATAGATTATTTTTTCGCCTGATTTCTCTACCTGAATGCTACCAGACTATTACGTATCGTCTGTGATACCACATTGCACGTAAAATTATACACTTACTCTAAATGGCATTCCTTCATTCTGATACGGGCATCCCCGGAGAACTGTTGTTTCCGCAGAAACAATGATGCTACTAATGATGAAATCTCACTGGTCCTAACACTTACCCGGAACATGTTTGATAACCACCACATCCAAGTCAGCAGTTCCAAGTACAGTCTTTAGATTCTACATCCATTGGAACTGTTTTACATCCGTCTTACTCTCTTCCAACAAATTCACCAACACTGTCTTTATCCTCGCTTCCATAAAGACGAGTTCCATTCCACCACGCGGCAACTTCTTGCCTCCTTACTAGTCACAGATGCGCTCACCGCCCTCGTCACTGCCACAACTGACACTAGCTCCAGCGCCAAAGCCAACACTCTCCGAGCATCGGGGCCGCCTGGCCACCTGGCCGCCGCCCAAATTACCCAGTGTGGCGCCGCCCCCGCCCCCGCGAGCGAGGGGGCGTGACCGCCGGGCTGCTGTCGCTCCACCGGGGCGGCGCCGGAGGGGCCGCCGCTGCGGCGATGACTTGGCGCAGACCGTCGCCCGGCCCCACGCGCGAGGAAGCCGTCATCCTCTGCCCACTCCGCCTGACGCACGCCTTCCAAGAAACAACCCATTGCGGGCACCGGCGACGCAAAGTGCATTCATGCGCTCCCCTTGCAAGTCGCCTATTTAGAGTTATTTTGCTGAAGCTGTAATTGAAAACAACTGAAACTGAAATTTTTTGAATATCATTCATTATTTGATATCTCCATTTCCTTGATATTCCAAATATTTTGAAATTAAATTACCTTCTCGATACTGATATCCCTAATTATTTGATATTCTGAATTATCTGATATCTCCAATTTTCAGCATTCCACCTTCAACTGACTTATTCATTACGAATTCAGAAAGGCGAATCTCATTACGTCTAAATGTGACAAGCGTGCTGAAAATTTCTTTATAATACAGTTGCTTAAGATGCATTTGTACGATCCTTCTCGTAACATGATTCTTCAGACGATCATTAAACCTATTTTTGCCATGAAAGATAATTGTTTCAAGAAGTATTTATTTCAATTTATTTTTATTCATACTCAAACAGTCTCGCATTCCTATCTTAATCGGAAACAAAACTGCAGGTAAAACACAAATGTTGATTTTAGTATTATGAATGATTTTAAAAGTGGTAGGTTCATTTGAAAATATATTGGTATATTTCCCGTTTAAATAAAAAGTTTCCAAATAATCCACGATATGAAAACTACGAAAACACTTGATTTTGTGACGCAATTCATAGCACCTTTTATTGTAATCGACGGGTATTTTTATTATAGTAAAAATATTAAAGCAAATAGTGCAATATGTAAATTAGGCACAATGAGAGAGGGGCGCGGCTCCGCGTCGCTATGGGATGAAAGTAAATGGAGCTCGCGGGCAACAAACTCCTGGCAATACTGAGAAGTTTACTGTACGTAAAATTTTGGGGCATCAAAGGAAGGTTTTTTAAAATTAACATATGTAACACATAAATATAATACAATACATAAATTATTTAAACATAAGTGCATCCAATGAATTAAAAATAAGCGTTTTTTTAAATTTGATTTATCGAAGTCAACAAGGTGTTTGCGGTAGACTAAAAAAGGTCAAGCAATCTCGCAGCTAGTCATAAATTGAAGGACTTTGGGCAATAGTAGAAAGATAAACTAAAACATCCACAGTAAGCTTTCCGCTATTTTAAAGCGTCAGTATTTATTGTTCTTATTCACAAATATACTCGGACAACTAGCGTAGAAAGCTATTAAAAATGTCAAATTGGGCACACATCTATTGATCTCGCATACTATAAATTCTGTAATACTAACTCAAACAAATATTGCTCTGCAATTGTCAATGTCTTCAATAAATCTGGTTGGTAACTTGCCGGTTGAGAAGGTGCAGTAAATCTTCTTTCACGTGACAAATGATATTTTTATTCAATCGCGCGTGTGTGTGCGTGTCATGCTGTTTCTGAAGTTCGTTTTCAGTTTTCGATGGAAGCTAAAGCTCCGCTCATATTGATATCCAACGCGTCTGCACCGAAACACTTATGGGTGTAGTCTAGTTAATACGTAATTTACATAAATAGTAAAATATGCAATTAAAAGAAAACTAACGAATGTAGTGGAAAATACTGTTGGGGGGGACGTGTGTGTGTTCCCATTAGTGAGTCCGTGATACCAATCCAAATAGCCGCTAGCTAGAGTTCAGGGACACTACATTGTAAACAAAAGAAAGTGAAATCCATCTGTTATTCATCGCCCTGTGTTGACACGTTATCTTATCATGAGATGTAATAATTATGCCAGCAAACAGTTTCGTGATAACCACATTTTTGCAGCTAATCACTTCTGTAAAATCTCATCAATTTCTTATGGACATTACAGCCACTGATAATTAGAAAATCTACGAGATGGTTTCTTTTCTCTTGTCACTCAAGTCAATGACTTGCCAATTTTAAACATTTTGTCTGAGAACAATAGTTTTGATTCCCTACAACTTTCTAAATCGTAAATATAATAGCAAAATATATTATTATAAGATATATTTTTATAGTACTCTTATCTAGCCGATAGCCGGTTACCCTTTACGTCCGGACGGGATGCATACTCGATCATACACTAGAGACCATACATACGCTTGCGAGATCTTCTGATCTGGAGACCGCAGAACGCGAGGCCCTCCACAACAACACATACGAGTCCATGGACAAACCCCATGAACCACGCCCAAGGCGGGTCTCGAACCCGAGACCCTTCGGACCGAAGCGCTGAATCGGTTCACTTACCTTCGCCACATCGGCTATCCAGCTTGGCTAACAGAAATATACAAAATAGGTGTTTCAGAATAAATGTTTCAGACTTTTAGATTTTGTGGAAGGCTCGAATTTGATAACATTTTACCAATGAGTAAGTAGTGGGAAATTCTATTTAACGAACCCAACTGTTAAAACTGTTCTGCAAAAGGGCAAATTTTAGAGATGTCATTTTTCTTAGGCACCGACAATATTATATGAACCTGCCATTCAAATTGTATTGGTCCAGTGAAAAAACAAATGCCAATATTTTAATGACATAGTTTCTGGAGTTATAGCTACACTATCCCAGTGTAACCTTGTTCCAAACATGTTTAAATATGAATAACATTTTTAAAAAGATGTTAAACATTTAATATTCCATTATTCTTAAACTTCACATAAAAGGTCAAAGGGAGACAAGTAGTTATCGTTATTAGGTTTGAATAAAAAGCTGGTTTTATAAATTAAAAAAATGACGCCCGTTCACTGCAGAACAGACGGGGTCAGGTGTAGCCAGAGAGAAACTGGGTAATAAGACAAGAAAGAAGTGAACACACAAAATAGCCAGAAAATGAAATCATATAAAATTGTGTTTTATCGAAAACATTATTTATATTTATAATTAATTATAATTTAAGAATTTAGTTTAAGTAATAATGTTACTATTAAGGAATCTAGAATACTTATTGTCCCTCACCCCAAAATGTTGCGAAAATCCTAAGTCCACGGACAGAGAGCGGCAACAACACGTATTAAGTTTCAGCGTAAGCATATTCGACATCGAAATCGCGATTGCCGTCATCCCGGGAGAAACCGCCGAGGCTCAAGAGGTGTCGCTAATCAAATCACGATTTGGCGCATCGAGCGGCGGCGGCGGGGACAATGAGCGAAAATAAGCTCCGCATACGCAAACAGAAGAAAGTATCCTTCACCTCTTTATAGCGCGCTGGGCACGCGCCAGCGACCGACGCGGACCAACAGCCCAGCGCTCGTCGCGTCGCCGCGGCGCGGCGCGCCGGCCACCTGCACGCGGCGCGATTTACGCGTTCCGACACGGGCACGCACATGGCTCATGCATCGGCGGAGGTTATTGGCTATCACAGCGGACTCGATGATACACACAGTGCGTGCGCTTAATAGCGCGCGGAACGGGGAAGGTATTTTCATTTGGCCTTCCTGTTCACACACTGATTTCATGAACTGACTTTTCAGTTTCGCATGGCATCACCTGAATGGGCGCACAGCTTCATTAAAACTTTTATATGCTAGTTTCGAGTTTGTTAAAGATTTACTTCAATACATGGTTCATTTTTTATTAGCTATCTCTAGTCAATATCAGAATAGAAATATATTATAATGTATCAAGGGCGAACAGCGTTCTGAATTGAGTTCCGTCACTACAGTTGAAGTACTCTGTTTGCCAATTCAGCAACGAGTTAACTGGATCTCATTCCAAATGCAACATCTTTGTACTTGCAGGTGATACATCATGAAGAAGAGAGAAGGGAGTCACATTCATACACAAGCTTTAAGTCTTAATTTCATTAACAAACATGCCAATCAGGCCAGTACTTTATTTAAACCACGAAAACTAGTATAGAATTCTTCTTCAGATAGCAGCTGAATTTGACCCACCTGACTAGAGTCTAAAATCCTCCACCGTCGGGATTCGAACCGTAGAACCTCCCGGGCTGAGCCCTTGCAGTGACAGCAGAAGTTGCCTTGAGCCATCTCAGCTGGTGAAAAGTCATTAGCCAAGTACTTCATTAAAGCTCTTCACACCTTGTAGTTTATATTAGGAAGAATGGCGGACGTACAGCTAAAAGTGGACCTTCTACTAATCTCTTTAACGAAATATGAGACATTATTCATTTACATTTTATTAAACAAGTCTTCTGTAAATAGTCAAACCTGATGGGTGTCATGTCATTATTCTCCTGACGAAAGAAATGTGTGTCACAGCTCCACTCAAATAATTTAATGTGATTCTCGTCGATTAAGTCACAATCACGTTTACTTCTGCCAAAAAACATGAGCGTTCCTCAAGAGACAGTCTATCACTTCATTCGCAGAATCATTTCACAAGATCATTCCACTCTAGAAGCAAATGATAACGATGAAATGGTTATGACTCAAAAGTAACTAAAATCTACGATCAAAATTGTCTGATAAAAGAATTATCAAAACTTTCTTTGGCGAAATTCGAACTTTCTTCATATCTTTTGAGTCGTTAGAATCGGGTGAATCAGAAACGTGGCTAATACGTTCCATATTAATTATCCTTGGCCATGCATTTGTCACGTTCGTACTCGTTTTTAAAACAGTTTAAAACATTTTAAAACACCATAGTCTGCGAAATTACATCTAAAAACATTTCATTTTTCATTGGACTGGATGTGTAGGGAGGAAACGTCAAAATTTCAAAAATAAGCTTTTCAGACAATTTTAACCATATTTTGTCTAATAAACTGCTTGGCTGAGCCATAATAAGTACTCAAAAAATGGTTTGAAAAAATGATTTCTATGCAAAAATTTGCATTGAATAAACATAAACACTTCATAAACAAGGAAATTGTTTATTATTTACAAAAGAAACAAATATACAATATATGTTCACAACAAAAAATTAACACAAATAAAAAGCAGTCAAATTATGTAAATTAGGTGCTTTTTTATTTCTATGTTAATTTTTCTATGTGGACAAATATATTCATTTCTTTTGTAAAAAACAATTTAAATGTTTTTTTGAAATTTCCTCCCTGGACATTTTATGAGAAATGATCCTAATACATTTTG